GTCTAAAGGTTTGCTCGCTGTTTGTTGAAGTTGCTTTGGTCGAGTGGGTAACAGTTCTGGTTGCCTTGGTTCGCTCGCTTTGGTCACTTCTGGGATTTCTCCCAAATTCAAACTCGGTACGTATCCAGTCTTCATATCCGCAGTCGCGATTTGTAAATTATTGTTATAACCCTCAAAAGTGCCGATGCATAAGTCCATGTCCGAGGGCACCAGGTATAACCCCGGGGCGACTACGAAATTTAAAGGCGTTTTCGCGTATTGTAGCGAATCTTGGAATTGGTCGATCGACTGTTCGAGATTGGGGTCCGAATTAATTAAAGATTCCACGATCGTAATAAATTGCCGTTGCATGTCTAATCCGGTGCCGGTGGCTAAAACGCTGGTCTTGGTCTGTGCCTGTGCCCCGATTAATGCGTAGACGTAAGCTCGAATTGATTCGTTTACCTTGGTGATTCCCACTCCGTCTACCGAGACTTTTTAGGAACAAAATCCCACCAGGCCAAAGTGACGGCGTCCGACTGTGAAATCCAGGTGACCGTGTAGGTACTCGCGTGACCGGAGCCTTTAGGCGGTTTAGCCCAGCCAAATCTCATGTAAGTAAATCCCGCGTATTTGCCGTTGGTCACGTGTAAGTCGTGCGCGTCGTAGTTTTTACCCGGAACAGTACGTAACCGTTGTCGTAATAATAAGCGGTGCCTAATCCGTTTGACAAAGTGTCGCACGTTTGTTTATACGATTTATTCGGGTCTACTCCGTATAAAAGGCACGTGTCCGTAAACTTCCGATGGTCGTAATTATTGCGTAACACGTCAAATACGTCGTCGCTTGGAATGGGCATCACGCAGTCGTAAAATATTTTTCGTACGGTGTAGTATACGTGAAAGTTAAATAAAGCCTAGACGTATGGATTGGGGTCGGACAGCAGATCAAAACCCACACCACAGGCCGTCGTCGCGCAATAGACAGCGAAATTAAATTGATTTTGGTAAAACGATATCGACTCAGTAGACCAGTGATTGACGGCTTCGTCCGTGGTTACTTTCGGTAATTTATACGCGTGAATTGTCTTCGTTGACTAAAATTGTTAGGCTACTAAAATTGGCTCCCATTTATTTGAAAAGACTTTTATTTAGATTTTTTTAACTAAGTGCCGTCGATTGGGTCGGTTGATAAGCGGGTGGTAGGTCTTCAAACTTAACCGATTTGGTAAAACTTATTCGCCAAGTTTTTTCATAAGATCTTTTTTTAAAACGGCCGCTTCGTTGGCTAGCGCTTCTGCTATTTCGTTGACTTGACGTTCAAATTCTTCCTTGGTGCTCGCTTCGGTCGCTTGCAATTTTGTAGACGTATGCGATCTGATCTTTTCTTTCATTTCGTTAAACTTTTTCAGCTCGGATAAAATAAGGACAAATTCCTCCTGGGATATATCACCGTCTTCAATCGTGTAAGATACGTATTCCTCGATGGTGTTTAATTTAGCGTCTGCCAAAATTCGAATTTGGTCGTGTTTTTTTGTTTTGTGGGTTAGTCTACGGGAGGCGTACTTTAGAACCGCGTAAGCGCCAAACGCAATTATAGCGATGCCTTCCATCACAAGTCCGACGGGTCCGGTAACGACTCCCAAAACGGCAGGAATGCCAACGGCTGCCGAGGTCGCGCCCAGGGCTTCCACACCGTACTCCAAGTATCCGAGTGCGGTTAAAAGTCGTTTGATCTTTTCATAGCTAGCTTCGCGCACGTCGCGTTCTCCCTGGATTTGGGATTTAATTTCTTCGATCTTTCTGAGTCTGTAAATTTTGGTTCCCGCTTCGCTCGCTTCGTTCGCCGGTAAATTTGGGTAAATGTTAGTAGTCATCTTTTATTATAATATTGCTTTTATAATTACGCGTTTTAAAAAATGTCTAACTCGATTAAAATTTTGCCGATGTTATTCAAGAGCTCACCTCAATCGTTTTTAACAGAAAAGTCAATTCACTGATGTTCCTGTCGATTAACTTTTTAGGCGTTTTACACGTCACGGGTGATGAGGTGCGAGGCTCGGTAGCTATCACGCATAGCAAGTCTAAAGACTGCCCGTTATAACAATTGTAAAATGTATTTAATTGTTTGCAATGAATAAACGCGAGTTTCAATGGGTTTAAATCGTACTTGCCTTCGTAAATAACGTTGGGTAAAAGTTTTATTTTGGGTAAGTTCAGCAGCTTGGACACTTCTTTATTTAGTCGCAACTTGAGATTGGGGTCCGTAGTGGCCAAAGTCACCCGTTTAGATTCTGAGTGAACCTTAAAAGAAAACACCCGGAATCGAGTTTAACAAGAAGTGAAACCAGTCCATGCTATAATAACCGGGGGATACCATGATGCTTCCTCTTTGGCCCTGAGGTAATGGTTCAGATGAGCTTTGCGAATGAAGTCTGTCGTATATAGGTTCAGTTAGCCCCGTCAAAAACAGTCTTTTAGTTCTCTTCTGGGTCTCATGGGTGTTACGGGGGAGTTGGTGGTAGGTCGAGTCGGGGGATTCCCTTGGTAAATTTCATCTAAAGCTTGTCTTTGTCCCTCGAGCAGTGAAGCTGATTTTACTTTTTTATCGTTGATATCAAAAGCTAAACGAGCTCGCGTTTCTAATGGTTGTCTCTGGTTTAACTGATCTTCTAAAGCTGCGATTTCTTGGTTTAGCTGCTCAATTTCATTAGCGATGATGCTGATTTCTTCCGCTAAATTGCCTCTTTTATTTGCCTGGATCAATCTGTTTTTAGCTGTTTGTACTAATTCTGAATTGGGAGATACGTCCGTTCTTTCCTCTGAGGGTATTCCGGGAGGTCGTTCGCCAAGTACCCCCGCTGGCCTACCGTCCAAGTTTGAATCCCACTCAATTTCAGTGGCATTTGTTACGTTAAAATATCCAGCTTCAAACTGAATATTCTTTACTCGGGCGACCTTGTCGCCTTTGGTGTTGTTAAATTAATGACATCTCTCAATTTAAACGTCTGCTCGCTCTCGGTTAAGTGAAACGTGTGAGTCTCCATTTTATTATATACGTTTTGAAAAATCTTGTTTGGCGAGGTTTAATTTATCGAGGGCGATTTCCCAGTGCTTATCCGAAACTTGAAATAGATCTTTCACTTGAGATTTGGTTTCCCCAGTTGTCTCTTGATAACATACCGCGATTAAAGCCTTGAACGGATTACCTCTAGAGATCTTGCCGTTTAAAACTTGGTTTAACTTATTCTATTTCATCCGCTTCGCCGTTTCTAAAATACATGTTATATTTTTGTAAGGTTTTTCTAGATTTTGGTGGCGGCGGTTTTTTCCAAACGTGATGCTTGTAGTATCGATCTCCCATGTGTACGGGGGTGTACGAGGAAACCCACCCAAAAATTAGACCGCAATGTTTACAAGCGTATCTTTCGTCTGGTTCAAGTATTTGGTGGTTACAAGCGGGTATCGGTTTACTTTGTTTTTGAGATCCTGCTATATGTACTTCCTTTAGATTCAGCAAGTGACAAAGCTCCGTATCAGTCATCTTTTATTAATAGTTCGTTTATTTAAGGAAAAAAATAAACCCCAGTTGTTCCGAGGAATAACTGAGGTTAAATTGATTTTCAAATTTAATCAACTTTTAATTCAAATCTGCTAAAAGCTTGCAACGCCGACTTACTCGAAATTAGTTCGTCGTTTTTTTATTTTCAACATTGCCGCTGTCACTCTATACCTAACGCTGGCTCCGCACGACAGTGAACCGTGGGTACCGTAGTATACGTCTTTTGCACAAATAAATGATTGCGCGTCGCATCTCTTATTGATAAATTTATCGATATTTGACGAGTCGATGGATCTTTTTCGGTTATCAAATAGGGAGGCATAGGGATCTATTTTAACGTACATTTGGTTTTTAGCCGTATAAGGCGGATTAACTACGTACTCTATTTTATTAAGGTCATCGATATCGCGACTGGCTTTGTCGGCGTTTACAGTGTTAGACGGGAGATGAGACCCTTGAGATTTGATAAATTTATATACGGCCAAATTTATGTGATCGAGTACGTTTGTCGTAGGTTGTTGTATTTGATAGCAAATTTGACGGCCTTGGGTGTTTTCGGCGTTTTGTCTCGAGTGCCGTATTTGTAAAGTGGGTTTATACCGTAAACATGGCTCTATCGTCATAATCAACAGGCGTTTGTTTTGGCCGTTGTGATGGTAAAAAATGGGTGAAGTGCATTGGCTGACTTGGGTCCCTTCTTTAACCACGGGTTTTGAAATGATTAATTTACTCGGGTCAAAAGGACCGTAGGTGACATTGGGGTCGTAGTTGTCGGTATTGAAACGCTCGTGGTCGTCTGAAACGATAAATACTTGGGTTGACATGGTTCTGATTTTCCTGGCTTTGACTAAAAATTTGTCTCATTTTTACCAGGCCGCGTCTATAAATCGGGTGGGATTTCTACTCAGCGTCGTATTCAATAATTAATTCAATTTTGTATAAATCCGCGTCGAGTTTAGTTGCTGAATCGGGAAGTGGCTCGTTTTCTCGCGCGTGCCCCAGCTTTTTATGCTTACCGTCTACGAGCACCACGTGATCCATTCCTTCCAACTCGACACAATTTACGCAGCAGGTGCAGTACGTACAACAAAAACATTGGATACAATGGGCGCACTCGTAACAGTCCTCGCAACTGTCCAAGGCATTTGAATTTCGGCAGTCGTATGAATTAAAACAAGCCACACAATTTATACATCTACCGCAATCGTCGCAGGTGGAGCAGTCCTTACATCTGACGCAGTCTTGGCATTCATGACAATTGTGGCATTCTTTACAATCGATGCATTTGCGTAAACTTGTGGAATTCAAACAACGAAAACAATCGTACGAATCTATCAAGTCGATCAAATTTCTCGTGTCTTTGCAAAAATAACTATTTACGTTTGTAGTTTGATCTTCCATTTATTTTTATGTAGTGTTTATTTTTTTTTTTCGTTTTTTTTATAACGGGCCAGCGAGGGGAAGTCCCCTTTTCTGAAGGTGATTGTTTGTGCGATCGGTGCTAGTCACGAGTTGTTTACAGGAAAAGTGCACCGGGGTCAAGAGTTCAAGGTGAGTGGAAATCCCCGGCGCGTGTGGGTGAAAGAGATTTTTGGCCCTGAAGATTTAAATATAGTAGAGCCTATTTTGGGGTCGATGGGGTACCCAGGGAAAATTGTTAAAATCTGGAATTTCAGATTTTTAGGGGATTCCCCCGATTTTTTGAGTCGATGCACTACCCAGGAGTTTTTGCTGAAAGCGGTGAAAAAGGGCGTGTGCTCCACAACTCTCCATTTTCTTACTACTTTTTTACCCTAATCCCTATATTCCCTCTGTATTACTCTATTTGTACACTACATTATACTATACGAAAGGCCAATCTGCCTTTTTTCACCCTACGCCTCCTTCCATTGCTTTATGACTATTCATCTCATTATTATTTACATTTTTATACATATGTATTTCTATACATATTTATGTGACCTTTTCCTCTGTCGAGGTCCAAGGTCAAATTGTGCTGGATCGTCCCTACAGTTTTTATTTATCTCTCGATCTGCTACCTTTCGAATCAAATATTCATTTGAACTACGGCGTCAAAATCATTGCCTGAAACGTTTTCTCTCAACCCCAAATTTTATTTTTTCGTGTTTACCCCACGGACGGGTCGTTACATGTCTCCCTGCGACGCATTAACTTCTTCCCCCTACCCGCATCCTTGGTCATAACACCCCTTTCATTACGCTCATCCTATTAAACCGACCATCTTTATTCTAGAATTATAAAATCCGCGAAACAAACAGCCATGACGACGATTGTAAGAGAAGTGCGTCGTATTATTCGCTTTCATTATCGGCGTGCATCCATTAAAAAAATACACAAACAGGCTTTTAGCCCCGGTTGGCCAACATCTATTGTCCGAGCCAGCATCAACCCAGACCCATTACGTCCGATTGTCTAGGGATTATCACTTCCTACTCCTTGATTACCTTAGGATTGCCTGGTGGGCCAGTCAGTATACCATCACACACTGTATGGCTCATTCACTATTTTTTATTATGAGCAAGGTCAAACTGTGCCGAAAATTTTGAACCCACCATGTTCATATTCATCTATCCAATATTCACCCTATACACTAAAGGTCAACCTGTACCAGACTTTCTGACCTTATGCCTATCCCTTACCAAAGGTCATTCTGTGCTATAATTTTTCACCTTACACCTCATTCTTATTCATATCAATATCATTTTATTCATATACTTATGCATATTAATGCTACCTTTTGCCATTTTTGTCGCAAAGGTCAAACTGTGCTGGATTGTCCCCCCCCCCTCTACTTATATCACCTCTAGACAGCAGTGTAGAACTACAATCAAACCTCAACTTCGGGTAAGTTTCGTTTAATTATTCAATTTAATGCCACTTTGAAAAAGTTCTTTGTTTTTTAGGGCTCGCAGACACTTACTTTCGCTCCCACTCCTTTTGCATCGGAGCGGCATCAACCACATCTGCGTTGGGTTTTTCCCTGGAGCAGATCAAGACAACGGGCCGCTGGTGTTCGGAGGCCGCTCAGCGTTATATTCGCCCGCTGGTATCGTGCCATTTTCCCAACGTGTAATCAGACAGAGACAGTGGCTTGTGTTGTGTGAAAAGCATAGGGAATATCAACCGATTGGATTGTTTAAACAAAAATAAATAAAAATAAATAAATAAATAAGTAAATAAAAATATACAAATGGATAAAAAATAAAAATATTGAAAGTAATACTGATGTTGAACCTCAACAACAACACCAGAACATTCCTTGTTCCTCTCCCCCTTGTTCACAGGGGATGTTTGGATACTTGGGGATTCCATCATACATCGAGCAGTGACCACGCTCGGGACTGGGCAAGAAGTCAGCTGGAATGGTCTACGGGGAGCGAAATGTGGTGACGTAACAAAATTAATGGCGGAACTCGCATCAAGATGGCCCGTCCGGCCAGACCGATTTCATCTGTTTCCGACAAAGGTTGAAACTTTCCACGCAAGAGTGTCCTGACACTTACCCAGAGGCTCAGTTGGTTTGTTCGGATATTTTACTAATCCATCAACAATGGAAAAGAAACGCCGCGAGATCAATAGGTGGGCATGTTTGCTCGGTAGTCGACTGGGAGTGTCAGTGCTGCACCACCCTCAGTTTCGATGATCGGAGTTGGCATTGTATCGTTACGATGGTGTGATGGTTATCTGACACGGGCAAAGACTATTTAGAGCCACCTTAAAATACTGCATCATCACTGTCTTTGAAAAATAAAATCGTTTCAGGGGATGTGAGCCTAATGGGTGGCAGTATTTGTTCAAGTGTTTGCTTGTTTAGACAGTATAAGCAAGGGTGGCTCGGGTGTCCGGGCGGTCGTCGCAGTGGGACCCGCGTTGCGCGTCTGGCACGAACTTATGGTGTACTATTTACGACAAACATTTCTCTCTTGCCCCCTCCAGGCGACACAACCAGACGGCACAACGGCTCCCTTGCGTCATGCCGTCGGGTCGAATTGTCGCCTTTGTACAAACGTCGTTTGTACACACACGACGCATTGCGTCGTGCCGTCGTGTCGTGCTGTCTTGGGTCCTCTCCTTGTTGCATTTTTTCTGCCTAAACGTCAACCCTTCCGTCGCCCGTCGCGTCGTGGTGTCATGTCATGCATCGCGTCGCCTGAAGCACAACGCGACGCGCGCTGTCGCCCTTTACTTCATGGTGTTTATAGAGAGCGCCTTTACTGTTTTCTTATTCATTTCTGCCCACCTTTCTTGCAAAGTACATGCTATTCGCTCTTTGGTGTTGATTTTTCATTGTTTTCATCTTATCGATTCTTTAATTGGTATTAATTTCTCTCGTATTTTATGGAAAAATTGATAAAAGAGCAAAAGAAATCCGAATATGTCAGAACTGCTGTCTCAAAATAAGTGGATAGAACCGCAGGCTCAGAATTCGTCAAGCCATAATTTTCCAGCCAATTGTTTCTTTTGTATTGTCTCATTTCCGTCCATCGCACTTCCAAAATACATGCCCTGAGGCGCAGGCGTTTTTTTTGGGGGGGGTGGGAGGGGGTGTTTCATCCATTCATCAAATTGAATTAGTTTTTGTCATATTTTATCGAAGAAAATGAAAACGAGCAAAAAGAAAATATGCGTATGTAGGTGCTTTTGCATAATAAGTGTAAGCCCAGAATTCGTTGCTTTTTAATTTACCCGGCAGATCCTTGTTCGAATGTCCGTCCAATTTTTTTAAGTCCGTTGATGAAGTTCCCATTTGTGGTAGATTTGTCACCTTATAAATATTTCTCTGTGGTCAATGCCAGCGGTTTCCAAGTAGTTCTCCCACTCCTTCAAACAATTTGTCTACAGTTGTACGACCACACGTTTGACCACGGGCTTAGGTAGTTACCACCCAGCCTGCACTATATTATTACCCTCAGAATATTCAGTCTTCCTTCAGTTTAGTCTTCCTTGTTAACTTCATCAGCACCACACTTTCAATGATATTAGTCTGCCTGCGTGTTTCTTAATAAAACATTGTAGATCCTACTACCATTGCGACGGTGTCTTTTCTTCCTCTCTGTTTGGCCTCGCGCTTAATTTCTCATCAGATCTGCATGTTACATTTTTGCAAGCACGTAATAATGATTGATGTATTGTATCTTAGAATCGATTTACAATAATTATTAGAAAAATCAGAATTAGATCAGGAAAAGCTAAAATATTGTTGTGGCTGACGTTATATATTTCCTGAAGACAATGCTGATTAGTCGCGAAGGTCTTTCTGATTACATTTGATTTAAAAAAAGAAAAAAGACTTTTCTTCAACAACTCACTCTTAATGAAAGGCCTGGTACCTATGACATGTACTGTGCAAACACGGGCCGCTGGAAGGAAATGAAAGAAAACAGTAAAAGGCGCCCTCTATAAACACCATGAAGCACACTGCAGGCGCCGTGTTCTTGACACAGGTTTCTTGTTCTCGCGCCCGAACGGCGGGAACACGACTCAAGAACACTGTTCTCGGAACAGGATCACATACCACCTCCTCATCGGGGTTTTACAGGAACACACGGAAAAAATCGTGAGAGTTTGATTTTTGAACAGCTGCAAAAAATAAAGAGATGGTTTACAAAGTTGGAGACAATAGGAAGTTTTGCAAAATTAACATTATTATTTTTCACAACACAGAAGTGAATGTTCCTGTTTCAATAGAAAAGAATTCAGCCCAGTTGTCCGAGCATTAATTCTCGAATAGTTTACCACGACAAAGACGCCGCTATGTTGCTTGTCACTAACTTCCAGGGATGACCAATTTGTTCGTCACCGGCGTTCGAGCGGCCGACCCAAGAAGCTGTTTGTGAACATACGAGAACAAGCCGCCCGAACTCGGCCTACACGTCGCGCGTCGTGTTGTGTGTGTACAAACGTAATGGCAAGAAGACGACACTGCAACCCAACGGCACGACGCAAGGGAGCCGTCGTGTAGTTGCGTCGCCCGAAGGGAGGCTAGAGAGAGAGAAAAATGTGTGTAGTAAATAGTACACCATAGAAAAGAGGTCAGACAGAATTTTGTACTCCTCATGTAACCATAAAGCCCTTCAGACTGAATAAAAAACTTCATTTGAGAGAGGTATGTGCTGAAATTGTATGGTGCACCGTTCACGATGCGCCCAACTTATCCCATTTTCAATGGCCAACATGCCTCTTGCTGCGGATATCTTCGAGCAGCAATCCCATCCGCGCCAATTTACTATGGACCCTTCCACTGAAAAAAAACCCCGCACCGATGGGTGATCATAACCCATAGCTGTTATACCACTAAGTAAACAACTATGTATCTGAATATACTTTCTTGGGGGGGGGGTATTATGCTCTTGACAGGGCATACTACCACACTTTGCCTATAATAGTCATTATTTACTCAATTCCATAACCATTTAATGCTTACAGCATCATGCAGACCACCCATTTAGAAACTCAGACAATCCTGGAAAAAAAGTTGGAACACCTTGCGGGAAGCGCGGTGAAAAGACCCCCTCTCCCCGTCAGTAGTGGGGGGGGAGGCAATATGATACACTTTTTATAGTACACAGTGACTGTCACAAGCCCGGGTCCCCCTACCCTCTGACACGCAATGTGTGCACGGTAAATTATGCAGTACACTCAAGCAGATAATTTAACTTCAAAATTCAATGGAAACTAATTTATTTACAAATATACAAACCACAAAAACAATTGAATGAAGGGGGAGCAAAATACAGAAGATCATCAGTTTTTTAAAAAATGGGTTTCATAGAAACTAGAAGGCTGGTGGGCTGGTTAATAATTACCACTAGCCCAAATTCGGACAGTTCAAAGGGAGAGTTAGTCACTTGTCCGATGCGCCACTGTTACATGACTCTCAGCCGATCCTCGGCGAGGATGATGCAGGCGAGTCGGGACTGGACTTAGCAGGCCAACAGGCAGGTAGGTAGCCGTGTCCCCCTCCAGCAGACTTGCTGTTCCTTTCCAGCCAATGCAGGACCTGGCTTGATCGTGTCACGGTACTCAATGAGGTCCAAGTACGGGAGCTCCGACTCCGTAATAAGGAGCCCTGAAAAATTGAATAATCATACTCATGTTTGCTAATACACATGTACATCTTATGGCAAACATTTGTGCACCATTTGACCATATTACTAATCTTCTATACCC